CCTGGTTGACTCGGCCCATCTCAGTCCATGGCAGAACCAGAGCCATTTTGTTGTAGACACTCCCGGCATTTCTGGTCTTTGGCAAGTTTGAGGCCTGCGACAGGCCCCCAAAGACTTCCAGCTTTTACCACGGAAAGACACTGTCCTCTTTTCTTGGGATCCTTGCACACTCAACTGCCTGGCCAATCTCTCCCTCCTGCTTGCCTCAAGACCACTGTGTGGCGCCTACAGATGGTTTGGTTTCCCCTATCCTGATCTCTTGTGCCCCTCTTCTGACAGCAGCTGGCATTTACCACATGACCTCTTGTTTTCCACCTGGATTCTAATAAAATTTTCCTTGGGCTTCCATGTGAGCATGTGTAGACACACACAAACACACACACACGCACACGCACATAATAACCAGAGTACGAACTGGAAAGAGGAAACCTTTATCTCCCCAGAAACTGAGATAATCTTTGTAGGAAAGCAAGCCGGAGAGCTGAGAATCAGAGCCCAGCTGGGAGACTTTCTGAATCTGCACCACTGAGCCCAGGGAAGCTCCTGTGAGACAGACTGCAGGAGTTACTGTAAGGAAGATGCTGCTCCTCACACACACTAGACCTGCATTACAGGGAGCTCTCCTGGTGGGAGACAGAGTGCCTTGGGAACAACTACAGGAAAGGACTGAGCCCTGAATCTCTCCACGTGCCAGAGGAGGACAGACTATGTGGGCTGCAGAGACCCAGGGCTCTGGCCTGCCCCTCCCTGACACAGCACCAAGTGGTACCTGTTAGAGCCAGCTGACTCTCAGAACTTCCCTCTTGAGTCAGAGCAGCTGGACCAGCAATGCTCCATACACCCACGGGTTTCTGCTCTTCTCAACCTTGGCCCAAGAAGCTGCTTTTGGCAGCGGACAGTGACTCATCCCTGGTCAAACTGCCGAGAATAAGTGACCCTTGGGATGTCAGCCCTAAATGGGATGGATATGTGTATCAGGCCCCAACCCACCCCCAAGGCTCAGGAAACAGGACAGAAGCAGAGACCGAAAGAGTGTCCTAAGTGGAGGAAGGGGAAGAACACTGTGGCATGGTGTCTTCTGCACATGGCATTTGTCCACAGCACTCATGAACTCACAGCACCTTGTGAGGAGACCTGGACAGGAGCATGCTGGGCACTTTTCCAGCACAGGATGGGGGAAGAGGCTTACGAGGACAGTCCCCTTGCAGAAGAGCTACTGGTAGTTGAGGGAGGTTAGGGGCAAGGAGAGCCATTTGTCTTCAAATGTGTGGCCTGTGGTAGATTGTGGTAGACTGCCCAGGCTCAGGTGGCTGGTTACTTACCCTCGTGCATCTGGGTAGTACTAAAAAGCCTAGTGTATGCCTTTTTAAATGATTTTCAAAGAAAATCTGACGAGGACATGAAGGTGGAAGGGGATGTTTGTGCCTGGATATGGGGGGATGGGGGGCTCCCAGTGGGATGGGTAGGAGCCTTTGAGGGTAGATGTAATCAAGATACATTGTATTACATATGTAGGAAATTTTCAAAGAGTAATTATAAAATCCCCCTTAAACTTTTTTTTTTAAGAGTGCTTTGTTTATGTTTTTGTCTTTGTGAGACAGGGTTTCTCTGTGTAGCTTTGGAGCCTGTCCCCGGAACTCACTCTGTAGACCAGGCTGGCCTCAAACTCACAGAGATCCTCCTGCTTCTGCCTCCCAAGTGCTGGAATTAAAGGTATGGGCTACCACCGCCTGGCCATTTTGTAGTGCTTTATACATAAAAACCATTCTTAATAGAAAAGATCTTAGTAAGAGGAGAGTCAGGCATTAAGCATACGACAATCATTCAATACCGAAAAGGAGTATCACCACCCAATCACAGTCCTAGAGTCACAAAGAGCCTTCCGTTGTAACATCTTATGATGAACTGCCAGCCTAAACGGGGTGGAAATGGGCCCAGAATGGCCAAGACACTCTTTATACCCAAGTATCTTGTTTCACACTATTGGTCCGTATGATCATGACAGTGAGCGCTTTAAAATAGATTGGTAGTGCCATACATAGTTCAAAGACATAAATAAAATATCCCAGCATGGAACAGAGAGCATAGACACCACCAGTCCAGGCATATAAAGATCCTGGATTTGTGGTACACACGGTAGTTCAAACCACCTGGAGAAGAATGGCCTTGTCGACACCATATGTGGTCTGCCGAGAAAAATAGCTATCCCTATGCAGAGAACCCTACTGGATATCCTACACAAACTTCATGTAGATAAAGACCCGACTCTAAGAGGCAAGAGCATTTAGATCTTAGAAGGCCAGGCAGAGTCTATGTTTTGGGCATTTCCTTCCTCCCTGCTTCCTGCATTCTGTCTTCCTTTCTCCCAGGGATCAAACCCAGGGTACTGTGGATGCTTGGCAAGTGGGACACCACAGAGCTATTAGCCCTGGCTCCAGAAACTGATTCTAGTTTGTGTTTGTGTTTACTTTTTACATTAACATGCAAAGTACCAGCTTCAATGATGGCTCTCCCTTGCATAACTTCTTTGTGTAGTTTCTCTGACTCCTCTCATACTTTCTGGACTTACTGTCCTGCCTGCACCTCCAGCCTCACACTCTCTAACCCCCGGAGTCCCCTTTCTGCTTTCAGATCACATGTGTTTATCAATCACCCACCCAGCCTGCCCCAAGACCTCTAGTTTCCCTCTGTGGATCCCCCCTGTAGTCCAGAAACGATTTCTTAGTGTAAGTATCTATAAAATAAAAACCCTAGCCATGAGGCACTTTTTTTTAGTACCAAGATTCTCTCCTATTCACACAATACAGTACACAGCAGGTACAAATTCAAGCAACAGGGCCCTTACAGGAATACTGTGTCCACACACATGGACTGGCATTTACATTTATACCTCGTTAAATCAGCGATCACAAAATGGGAAGCGGAACCTAAACAGCTTAAAGGAGTTCAATTTGTACCAGGCCTGGCACAGAAAAGCCAAGAGATTCAGAAGTGTGGGAATATGTGAGAGCTTAATAGTAACCTGAGTGTCAACCCCCTTCAGATGGAAAAATTCTTTTCATGTCTAATGTACCCAGGGCAATGGGATTGGTCTGTGTTGCTGGTGGGGGCGAAGATTGTCACAGAAAGCACGTTGGACCAGCCTGAGCTACACAGTGAGGTCCCATCTCAGATAACACCCCACAAATTAAATAGCCCGAGTCGTCATTGTTTGTAAAGCTATGCATAAGTCACAGAGCAGCCAGGGATTCTGTTTTTGGAGGTATGCTCCAGAGAGGCTTTTACAGGAGGCCACTGTGATTCAGATACAAACATGCTCTTGATAACAGTGAGAAAAGAGCCCATTTACTGTAGGAGGGCGGGACATCACCACCGCGCTGTAAGCATCTGCCTGAATGCTAGTCAACAGTGGAGAGGATGTAAGCTGTAAGGCCCTTCTAAGCATCGTGGATGGGTCTGTCATGTAAAATAGACCCTGTGCAAGAAGCTAGCCACAGAAAGAAGGCTGCGGTATGGTTTCAACTACATAACTCCATGTAAACCGCATTGTTTTGAGGATGTGTACCCTAAAGCATTCGGCAGGGAGAACTGAGGAGCTGGGTGGATTTTCCAGATTTCATAATCTATTGCTTCAATTACCAGGTCTCACACCCATAGGCCAAGGGTGCCAGGCTGTTTTGGCCCCGTTTCTTAATTTGACTCCTGTACCAGGAGGTCAAAAGCCTAACTGTGTGAAACATTTTTACCCGGGACTTGGCTCACGATAACCAATTCTGAGTATTACAAGTTGTGTGTGTGTGTGTGTGTGTGTGTGTGTGTGTGTGTGACTGTTTGTGTGTGTGTGTGTGTATGTGTGTGTGTGTGAATATGTGTGGTGTGTGTGTATGTATGGTGTGACTGTGTGTGTATATATGTATGTATATATGTATGTATGGTGTGACTGTGTGTGTGTGTATGATGTGACTATGTGTGGTGTGTGTCTGTGTGTGTATATGTATATGTATGGTGTGACTGTGTTTGTGTGTGTGTATGCTGTGACTGTGTGTGTGTGTGTGACTATGTGTGGTGTGTGTGTATGTATGGTGTGACTGTGTGTGTATATATGTATGTATATATGTATGTATGGTGTGACTGTGTGTGTGTGTGTGGTGTGACTATGTGTGGTGTGTGTGTATGTATGGTGTGACTGTGTGTGTGGTGTGACTGTGTTTGTGTGTGTGTGGTGAGACTATGTGTGTGTGTGGTGTGTGACTATGTGTGTGTGTGTGACTATGTGTGTGGTGTGTGTGTGACTTTGTGTTTGTGTGTGTGGTGTGACTATGTGTGTGGTGTGGTGTGTGACTATGTGGTGTGTGTGTGTGGTGTGTGACTATGTGTGTGTGTGTATGGTGTGACTATGTGTGTGTGTGGTGTGACTATGAGTGTGTGTGTGGTGTGTGACTATGTGTGGTGTGTGACTGTGTGTGGTGTGTGACTATGTGTGTGGTGTGTGTGTGTGCGTGGTGTGTGGCTATGTGTGTGTGTGTTTGGAGCGGGCATCTGCACCAGAAAGGGTAGCGTGAAGGAAGTGTATTTAGTGCGGGCAACATAGTTTCCCCTGTCAGAAGTTCTGTCCTGCGCCCACCCGCCCGCCCGGCAGTAAACAACTTCCAACACTTGAGAAGTGCCCGGGAACGCGCTCAGCTCCGGGGGAGGCCGCGATAGGTCTATTTGCTCCCCACGGTGAGGTAGGAATTGGAGTTGTTTTCATTGGCTAGGTGTCTAGGGGCCTGGGCGGCAGTCTGGACCAACTGTCATTCTGCTGCCTTCAGTTGGGAAGACCTGGATTACTTTGTAACAAAAGTGTGCAAGTTCTTTCTCCGCGTCAGACTCTGCCTCTGGGCTGTCTCCGCCGTTCCAGAGCCTCGGTACCAGAATATTTAAATCACTGTGGCGTTAAATACGTTTTAATATCTGATAGGGCCAGTTTCTGCGCATTGCACTTTTTTTTTTCCTTTCAGGAACGTGTTCGGGCCCGCGGCAGGGGGCGGGGTCGCGCCTCCGCCTCGGCTCTGGTTCCAGCCGAGCCTCACCGACGCCGCCGCGATGGAAATCCCGAGGCTGCTCCCCGCTCGCGGGACACCACAGGGCGGCG